AATTAATATTTTCTCAATAAACAAATTATGTAGTACCTGTCGGATCGGTTTTATGTGTTGTCACCAAAAAGTGCGAGTTTCTGAACCACAGCCATTAGAAGTATATTTCTAGATCGCATTCAATTTGTAGTAATTACTTAAGGAACTACGGAAAACTATGAACATCCATTACCTCAAGTGTAGTAACGGAGATTCGTTATGGAATACATCAGTATGACGCAAGGTGTCAGTCACTTTGTTGCCTTTTTTGTCCGTGGGAAGCAATTGTGATGACCGCTGTATTAATTTAAGGTTTTAGAGCGCCATCATGATGTATTTCGAACGAATCTCCCTGATGGTGTTCGAATAATTTACTTCTAAGTTTCAAATGACGTATACCTTTCCTACTCGTATCTTACTAAATACTACGTGCGTACAAACAATATAGTGATCAAACTTCTACAAAAACTGAAACCTTCAAACGATGCTATCTTCTAATAGGTAAATTCTGTAATGATCTACACAACAATTAGTTTTAGACAAAATCATACTAAACACAGACTAGGTTATATTATACGACTGGGGTGTTATGTTTGTGCTTTTCTACAGTTACTGTGTCTAGATTCAAAATGTATGATATTAATGTTCCCTCTCTCACTCTCACGCAGGACAAAAATGTTTTGTCGTAAACGTGGAGTTATGTACGTAATATGTTAGACATGTAAGTTTTGTGACTTTATATGAAATTTATCTGGTTTAAAAACGAGACTAAACGCAGGAAAAATATAACAAGAAACTGAGCACGAAAAGCTTCGAGGAGAGAGGGAGCCAGTATAAATGGTAATGATGACTGTTAAGTGAAAAGAATAAAAATTATCTATCTAGAGACTTTCAGCAATACAAAGTCCATTTTCAGCTAGGACTGTACCTGGCTGAGACTCCTAAAGCTACTAGTGCTGGCACTGCGAGCCTGGAAAAGACAGAGACAGAAAGAAGAAAGATAGGAAGAGTTTTTTTTGTAAAATCACATGTCATAGCACAGGTGTACTGCGAGCAGAGTATCGTGTGCATGGTGTGCACTGGAGGCGCAAGAATAGAAATATAACAATTTGTGAATCGATAGACATCGAAAGCGAAAGAGGTAAGATGAACTTTGCACACAGTACTACATTCAACACAAAACACAAGGAGGCAGAATGATCAACGGACACATTTAGAAGACACTCAGTACATTGAAGGCGTGCGCTTCAAGAAGCCGGTCCGATCAAAATCGACCTCTGTTTGTCATGCAGACGTTTTATTCTTTTAAATAAGCCCCTGAGAGAAGCGCCCTTTGGCGGCGTCTTGTTGCCGTGGCGCAAACAAAAAAGAAGGTTACGGTGCGTCTGACGACCAGTCGGCCCAAGCAGAAACATCTAATAAAGGCAGAAGAGGCGGATCGAGTAGAGACGTGAAACACGAAGCGTTTGGGGGGGTTGAGACAGTTTACGGGGCCGTAAAACATGGGGCGTCGGTCCGTAAATGCAGAGCTAATCCGCCGGGGGAGGATGGAAGGGGGTCTTCATCAGTTGTTGTCGGGGGTGCAAGGAAGGGTCACTTGCAGAATGTAAGAGGCAGGGGCTCGCTGTGCCACACACGGGGAAGGTAAGCGCTGTCGTGGACTGCTAATTTGGTGTTATTTTTGGATGAGTGGGGGCGGAGTGAGGAGGGGGTAATCTGATTGCGTGGAAGAGTGTAAAACACAGCGCAGGTCTCCCACACACCAACACACGGCGGCGTGCTCACGAAGGGGTAGTGTTACAGCTCTGGCAGAGCTGGGCGGAGCCGGGCGGAGCCGGGCGGAGCTGAGCCGAGCCCCCTGGCGTCACGCCAGCCCACGACGCCCCGCGCGCTGTGTGCCCCGCACGCACTCGAGCCGGCACGTTGCCTACCTTGTTCTTGTTAGGCGCAGCACACACTGTAAACGTTGCGATGTTATCTTGCGAAGAAAACTATTAGCCGGGCCATTTAAGTTTTTTCCAATATTGAAAATGAAATGTTCCGTCAGTGAGCAGTTAATTAGAACTGATCTTAGACTTATTGTAACATATGGTTGCGTTATGTGTACATGGCAGTTGACATTGTAAGCCAAATACAGATGTTTATTTGTTATTAAGTATCCTTGATGGAGTTTAGAAATTATTGATAACAGACACGCCAAGAACAATCATTAAGTTCTGGGAGTTAATTATCTGGGAGGAGATCTCGAATTCCTTTCCAATTCAACCTGAACCAGGGCGTCGTCGCCTACCTGGTAGGGTGCAAGGACTTGGCTCAAAGGCGGACAACGGCCGGACACAACCTCAACTCAGCAGTCCGGTAGCATTTCAAGCCACTTACTTACTTTGTCGCATGCCGCTCTGCAGTGCTATGCGACACGCAAACGCCCCTTTGCAGTAATAGGGGAAATCGGGTTATTTCGACGTTGACGGGAAGCAGGGGGCGCGGTGGTCGTGCCGACTCTATAACGAAAGAAAGGGCTGGGCCGCGGGAAACCAGGAAGTGGAGGACTAAAGGAAAAAACAATGAGCTTAGGTTAATAAATGTATTTCTAAACCTTTACTTTCATAATCGGCTCGTGTGTTCACTCACACAGTTCACTTTGCTGAGCGCAAGTTATATCCTCTGCTGTATGTGGGAACGAATGGCAGAATGGCATAATAACTCGACTAAAGTAGGACGGTCCTCTCTGCCATATAGAAAGTAACGAACAAACAACGTATCTCGAGGGGCTTGCTGAGCGCTCCCCGCGAGAGTGTACCTCCGCGCTATCAGGGCGGCCATGCGCGGCGGGCGGAGCGGGCTCGCGGCCCCGCCCCGGCCCCTGGGCCGCGCAGTCCGTCAGCGCCATAGTCCCCCGCCGGCCGCCTAGCACCACCGCGCCGCCCGCCATGAAGCTGTACCTCGCCGTGGCCCTCCTGTGCGTGGTGGCCGCCACCGCACTGCCCCACAAAGGGGGTAAGAAGGGTAAGACTGAAACCTTCGGGCAGAGGAGCAACCGAACAAAAGCAGGACTTATGGACTGCGCGGCTTTCTTTTACGATTTTTTTCAAGTTGAAAGTTTTGAACTTTAAAATTTCAATTCTTGAGGCTCTACACTTCACAAACAAAACATGGTTTAATTGATTCCTTTAACTGACCACATCCAGTAAAGCCCATTATTCTTGGCATGAGACTATATGCGCTTACAGCAACCCAGTATTCACTTTATTGTACCAAATGATACAAAATGATTTCCCCTAAAGTGAATTCAGGCTCATTTCCTGTGCCGGGAAAATGCGTTTTGGAGTGTGGTCGTTTCAAAAGTGGCTGCTAACGTAGACCTCTTTTCTTTTACCAGTTTTGAATTTTAAAGAATGAGAGCTAGTCCTCCGCATTTAGTCCATACTGCATCACAAATAGTTTCTGTAAGTTGCGGCGGCTCCGAATGTTTCACCCTTACCGCGTCAGGAACCAAGTTTACACAATTACAGAGTTTGACTGGTTTTAAAAGTTGATCAAAGTTACAGTTATTGAAAAGAAAATTGTCGACTGCAGGTGGATCGTGCAAGGCAGACGCTGACTGTAAAAAGCACGCCTGCACCCCGGCGGGGCCGTCGTCCTGTGACCGCTCTGCACACAAGTGCGTCTGCAAGAAGGCCAAGCCCAAGACCACTAAGGCGCCCAGCACGCCGGCGGCGACCACTGCGCCCGAGGACGCTTCCCCCGCCCTGGACGCGGCAGCGTCCCCGGCGGCGGACGACGCGGCGGCGGAGGCCACGCCGGCAGCCAGGGCCGGCGAGGACGGCGGCGAAGCGGCGTGAGGGGCGCCCACGGGGGCGGAAGTATACTGCTGCCGTTACCGTGCGCATTAAAGATTTGAATGCCGCAACGGGGGTGTCACTTCCGCGAGATGTGGTCGCGGGTGCGGGGCGCGGGATGGGGCAGGGCGTGGCCGAGCATCCAGCCAAGGCGTCTGCGTCGTCTTCGGCGGCGTCACATCTGCAAATCAAATGGCCCCCCGCCTTCGCGCCGCGCCCCGGCCCTGCCCGGCCCGCCCCCTTGGTCTCTCGCTGCTCTGCGTTTCAAATTTACCTTGCTGCGGTTCCTCGGCGTGAAGTCCTCCTTGGACGTCTTCCTCCTCTTGTCCTTGAGGATCATGCGCGCCGCGGCGAACGCCATCTTGCGGCCGTCTGCTCACGGCCGCGCCTGCTGCGCCCCTGGCTGCGCCCCTGGCTGCACCCCTGGCCCCGGGCCGGCCGCCGCGACCCCCGCGCGCCTCGGAGTGCGCCGAGCAGCGGCTCGCCGCCGGGAGAGTCGCGGGCCCGCGGCGGCCACGCGCCCCGCGCGCGCCTCGCTGCGCGGCCGGCACCGGGCGGGCGTGGTCGCGCGCGCGGTCCGGCTGGGGGACATGTGGAGCGGGGGCTCCTCGTCGTCGACGCCGTCCTCCTAGCAGGCACCTCGTCGTCGGTCTAGAAGGAAACAATGCGGAGTTGACGACCTGACCGGCGTGCAGCTGTGAGCCGTCGTCGCGCCACCACAACCAACACCACCACCACACAACCCACCACCGTGTCACACATTATGTGAGGGCCTGTCGCCCTTCCTTGCTGCACCGAGAATTGATCGGGGACACCCGGGTACCCGGGGGTACCGGGGGAGAAAAGGAAGAGCGCAACGCTGCTGCTTCTAAACTGACGCGTAACGCGTACCCCAACCATCCATCTAGCCATCTCTCTCCCTCTCGCTAGCCCTCTTTTGCGTTTAAATGAAATGCAGCAGGCCAGCGGGTGATGACGGTGCCCGCCCCCGCCCCGCCCCG